CTTTGAGTCAATGAGTCGATGCAATCAGCTGGTTTTCCTTAAATAGAAAACTTTGAATCAATTTGAGTGGGTAATCTGGTTGAATGGTAAAGTGCCTTGAGATAACAGGTGTTGTGAATTGGTGCTATAGAAATAAACTGAATTGAAAGTGAATTATTATAGAAAGAAATGCCATCGAAAGCAAATATTGTGGAAAAGTACTCTGTCCCCTTGTTAGATCTTAAACCTGAATTACCATGTGTTTGGGAGGAAAGTTTCATTTGAAAAGCCACACCCAGGCAGAATTTCTGCCAGTCCTCTAGAATCCCAACAAAGAACAAAGACCCAAGACCTTTGGGAAGATTTTTGTTGATTGACAGGATAAAAGTAGACCTTTTTTTGGAATCTTTGTACGGTATCTCGTTACATCTGGCTTAAAACTTAGCATTTTAAAGTATCTTTATGATTATAGTGACAGTAAAACATGGTGTTAGTAGTGTGAAGATCTGGAACCATGAATGTATTTACTAATTGTAAAACCCAACATTAAGTTTAAGCACTCTTTGATTATGCAGCAGGATAATCTGAAGCTAAAAAATGACCCTAGAAATTTCTCAGCAATAGTAGGGAGCTGGACTGTATGGTAAAATATTTAATATCTATGGTTCACAGATTAAATCCTCTCCTGTTCTGAATAAAGTACATTGATACAGCAATAACCCCTTTAACTAGTGTTTTGTAGTTTCTGTGCATCTATGCGTACAACAGACAAAAACCTTTTAAATAGTCAGGTGACTGTATTCATGATGGGTAAATAATTTGAAAAATTGTTTAGTTCTGAATTTAACACCAGCTACACATTTAAAATGTTAACCAATACGATTTAATTTTTTTATGTTGAAAATTACACTTGCTAAATAAAACTAAAATGGTTAAAACTCAAAACATGTTAATTAAATCTCTATTAGAGACCCTGGAAACTGAAAAATCCAGCTAGAATGTATGAGGATTCTAACACATTCAGTGTTTACTTTAGACAGACGTTGAAAACAATGACTCTGTGCATTTGGCGAGGTCAGTGAGGAATAGTTATTGGTTTGTGAGCTAGGACAGGAATATGTGGTTGTGTAAGAAAAATAATTAACAATCAAATGACAAAAAATAAAGATCCTTATTAAAGAATTTAAACTAGGTGAACTTGAATCCATCACAAACTATGTTGCTTGAGGAGCTCTGGACAGACCCGTTTACTCTAATACAAAATGTATGTTTGGTTTTTTTTTTTTGTTTTTTTTTTACAGATCAGGCAGATTTACTGTTCTGAGTGAGTTCTGTATATTTCATTTTGTGATTACTTAAAGACTGAATTAGTTGACAGCTATTCCAAGAATGGATTAATCACAATCTGATCAATTGTCTCAGCCCCATTAATAGATTTTTCCTTGTGCAAAGTTTTATTTACAAGGTACAATTGTAAAGGAAAAGAGTTCACTGGAAATTTCCTTATACTTATAAATATAATAATAATTTAAGAATCCTAACAGAGAAAGTAGTTTTCTTCTGAATATTTTCCTTTTCCTCCCCAAAGTTTAAAAAGACAAACACATTCAGATAAGATACTTTTATTAAACTACCTTTTTCCAACAACACTGTACAAGCAAACATTGAATACAACTGATAAAAGTCTAGAAGCTTCACAAGAATCTGATTCCTGCTCCAAACTGGAATCCATCACATATCCTGCAAGAAAAAAAAAAAATAGGAGAGAATATTAATGAGAGCTCCATCTAAGCAAGCAGTGAAACAGATCAAATCTGGCTTTTACACCAAGTTGTAGACTCCTTTCTTAGAATTAATAAATGGTTTGAAACGTTTGACAGCATAAAATATTGGAAATACACATATTATTATTATCATTATTATTATTATATCAATATTATTATCATTATAGACACAGAGACATCTCATTGCAGAAAAATGCAACTAAATATTTATGAAAAAATTAAACCTTAAATTTCCATTTATTCTGTCAGCTATTATCTATTTATTTTTTGTAACACAACTAACCCCAGCCCTTTTAAAATAAATGTTTCTGAAGCTCTGCTCTCGAATCGAAGGTTAGATTAAAAATACTTTTATTTTAGAGCTTTTTTTGCACAGTTTCCAACGAGCCCCAAACATTTTGCCCCAGTCTGTCTGTAGGGTTTTGTGGTATATCATGTTCATGGTTATATTCAATTGAATTAAATTCAGTTTATTTATATAGCTCAATTCACAACACATCATCTCAAGACAGTTCAACCAGATCATCCAGTCAAATTGATACAAAGTTTTCCATCTAAGGAAACCAGTTGATTGCATCGACTCACTGATTTAAAGGCAATCCCTCACACTAAGCATGCTTGTAGCGACAGTGGAGAGGAAAAACTTCCTCTTAACAGGAAGAAACCTCAAGCAGAACCAGGTTCAGTGTGAGCGGCCATCTGCTGAGGCTTAGTATCCTTGCTTAGTAGAAGAATTTGTATGTTTGAGTTGGTGGCCGTGCATTTTTATCTAAAGGAGTGCATCTCTTTCAGGACCCTGCAAACCTGATCTTGTTGCTTTTAAGATATATGGTGTCAGATGTATTACCCTGGTCCCTGATTAGAGAAATCTCCTAAAGGTTGCTTTGTTTTACCCTCCCCACACCAGTTTCTCATCACTGTTCTGCTGGGGTTATAAAGGGCATGCAAACCTTCACCATTCGGTGACTCTTGGGTGAAGTGTGCCTTCAGACGACGCTTGTGTTCAGATAAACTTACAAGGACAAGCTTGATATTTTCTTTTCTGATGAAACTGTCTTACTTGATAATTAACATTTCCATAACAAAGGGGATCAAGCAAATACAGATAGTCTAAAAAATAATACATCAATCAGGTATGACTCTGAACAATCCTTGAGATTATGCAGATATAAATGTCAGAAAGAAAAGAAAAAACACATGATTGCTGCATTATAATTGTTCTGAATTAATTTAAGTAAGGCTTTAAAAATAAAAATCTAAAGTCCCACCTGTCTCCACTTTGGACTCCCATGGGAATGCAGTAATTCAGCTCCAGCCTGGCGATGTTGCCTAACCGCAGCACAATGCCCAATCCGTACGACCAGCGGATGCATTCTGCCAGTTTCTTCAAATTCGCCTGAGGCCCCTCCCCTTAAGATAAACCAACCAAAAGATAATCTTAAGATAATCTCAACCAAATAGAAAGACAAGCAGAGGTCTTTGTGCCAAATTTCAGCACAGTTTTTTTTTCTCCTCACCATAGTTGATGCTACAAAGGTTCCCAGCATTAAGGAAGAAATGGGTTCTGAAGAGATCCCCAAAGCCACCTCTTCCAGGTCTGAAGGGTAGAGGTGTGTAGAGGTGGAGGCCTCCCGCCCAGTAAGCTTCACCTCCCAGGTAATCACCTGCCAAATCAGTAATATCAGCACCACAGATTTACAATGAAACACCAAAATCTCAACCCGACAGATGAGAAGCTAAACAAGGTGACGGTGTAATCCATGACTTACCATCACTCTGTGGGCCCATGCTGTACATGCTGAACCCCCTGATACTGGTAGGTCCACCAAGGTAGAACCTAGGAGTTAGAAACAAAAAATAACGTGGTTTCTATCTTTTCTTATCTTTAAGGGCCTAATGATACCATTTCATAGGTCTTCAGAATATTTAATGTGTTTTTTAACAAATCACATCACTAATATTTCTGATTCCTTCAAACTTCTGGTGTGTGTCTGAATCTGTCACAATGTGAGGTGCATGTCAGCAGCAATCTGTTGTGTAAAGCCAAGATTATACTTCTGCAACCGCACACATCAAATGTTGCTTGGGTCTGGTCGCCAACCGGTTTTGCTGGTATGCTTCTGCACCGCCGGTCTGGAATTTCTAGGGACGCACAGCAGTTTCCCACCAAAGCGCAAGGGGGAGCCTATTCGAGAACTCACGAGAACTTCGGCGCCGGCGGGAGTGTTTATCTTCCAAAACAACAATGAAGCGTCTGCAAGATCCCACGATCACTGACATGGATCTAGAGTTGCTAGACATTGAAGAGGAACAGGTTCTGTTAATGGAGTTGGCAGAAAGACCGATTAACCTTTCGTCATTGTCGTCCATTGTAGTTGTTCCTCAGTTTTTAAAAATGGTGTGCCCCGGCACCGAATCAAGAAGGACGACCACACAGACAGCCGGAAAGGCTTACAAAGGACCAATCACAGCTGCTTTTTGTCTGCGCACTTAAACTTGAGGTCTGCGTGGGTTTGCGACGGTCCGACGCGTAGTCAGGATTTTTTTGAGGTGCGCAACATTTGCAGAAGCTCTGCGCGGAGAGCGTGGTCGTGCACAAAGACAGATTTGACGTTTGCAGAGGCTATGCGTCAGAAGCATAAATTGGCCTTGATGCTAAGTTCACACCGAACGCGCTTTAAGGAAACAAAAAAGCTTCTGCTGCTTCATTTCCGATGCTTGTCCACATTAAGGTCAGCCGTCTAGTAAAGTGTGTCCAGATGCGTCTGCTGCTCCCGTGTTCAATGCCAGAGAGCAGCTTTGCTATATTTGCTGTGATCAGTGGGTAGAAAGTAGTTTGAATCTATATTTTGCAGTAAGAAAGTCCTGAAAACATGGTCTGTGCAGTCAGTTCATCCAGATTACCATCCAGCCTTCAAATATTATTTCTCTGTGGGAGCCGCTCAGACCCCCACATACCAGCGGTGCGCTGTCACTGGGAATCCCCAGCAGCAGCTGCCTCAGGCCCGCTCACCTCTTGGGGGTTTTCCCCCTACTGTTGATGGCGGCTGGAAGTAGATGTTAGCTTTTTTCAGGTCTGTGCTACAAACTGCAGGCAGCAGGATAATAAAAGTGAGCATATTCTGCCGGCAGGTTTCTACATTTCAAGTTTATCATTTCAAATTTAGGCGTTAATAAACTGTTTCAGAGCAGTGATCATGGCGCTCTGCATCAGCAGTGCTGTGTCTGTCTCCCTGTCAGCTCCCAGGTCAGCTTCTCTCATTGGTTGATGTGGCATGTCGACCAGCAAAAATTACATTTTTCCAACTCCAGCATCTGCTGCTTTATGAAGCACTTCATGCGCATTAGATGCTGAGAAGCTCATGAGGCGCTGCTCCTGCTGCTCTAGACGGGATCTTTTGATGCATCTTGATGCCATCAACCATAGAATTTGGATGCAAACCAGCTGCTTCTTCTGCTCAAAGCGTGTGCGGTGAGAACGTAGCATAACACTGACATTTCTCTGTAGGCTGTATTCCAGTAGCTCTGTATTAATTAAATCAAAGCTGCGTAAATAAAGAAAACGTGATGATGGAAGATGAAACCTCCAAAAACAATGATTGATGGATGTCTACATGGAGACACAGGAACTTTTCTCTACACCTTGTTCTCCATGTACCTGTCTGCAATGCAGGTCGGCTTCTCACCAATGGGTAACAGCAGCCCCCCCCACAAAGAGGCAGACAGAACCTGAATGAAAAGATGAGAGAATTTCAGCAACTGCAATAAAACAAAAAGACTAAATAATCATTCTCTGTTAGACATCAAAAGAAAATCAGTACTCCCTGTGGTTTAACTGTAGCACATTGTGATGACTTGTATTTCAGAGTATTCTGAACAAATGTATAATTCTGTCTGTGCTGAGTGAGAAGAGTTAGACCTTCCCTCACATCTTCACATGTTAGACATGTTCATATTATTGTAAAAACAAAACCTTTGGATTAGTGTTGCTCAATTTTTTTTATTCACAGTAATATGGTGGTCACTGACACTTGGATGACTGTTGTCATGTTGTCTGTAAAGACAACTTTTCCAACGAACTAAAAAAA